TGCTCTCCCTTCTCTCTCTCTCTGCCTCTCCTTCTCTCTCTCCCTCTCTTTCTCTCTGTTAACGATGGGAGGCAAAGGGAATAAGGACGGAGGATATGGCGGCTGCTCAGCCCCGTTGTACGTTATTTAGGAATTCGCGTAGACGGATGTTATCCAGGCACAGAGGGAACGAGGTAGGCGCACGTGGAACGCAACCGCAGCCGACACACTCGCGTTTCAATCAAGCCTCCTCAAGCCCGGAAGTCACGCGACGTTGAAATACCACCGCTCCCACCGCCCGCCATCAACGTAGGCGCACAGATCCCAATTCTCTAGCATCTGGCCTAACACCCTTCCTCATTTCATCCAGTGAGCCAGCCACGTGCGAGCACGATATATTTATGGTGGAACCTGGACACTGATGTTCACGAGAAGAGTGAGGACAGAGAGAGAGAGAGGTTAGAGTATTCGTGGACGAATCAAAGTGTGTACACGCCGACTTCCGATCGAAATACACCGTTAGGCCCAATTAGGGAATTCAAACGACCCCTGTCATCGGTTAACTTGAACGACACTTCTCGATCTAGGAGGGAGAATTGGTGCGATGGACTGGAGTTCGAGCTTAGAAAAATTGTAGTGATTGGACAGGGGGAGTTCTGGGTAATTTTGTTGGATTTAGATAGTGATAGATTGAACGAGGATTGAGGAAGAATCAATGGAAGACCTTGCTACGATAGTTTGGAATTTGAGGTTAGAAAATTTGTGGAGAAAATGTTGAATTTTTCAAAAGGGCTTAGATCGAATATTATTGTCAAGTACAGTTCAATTCTGGGTTAAGCTTTTCTTATCGATTCCGCAACAATTCACCGAAATAGTTTCTATCGTATCATTTCAATAAGACAGGATAATCCATCTACCGCTATTCTATTAGATTTACCGAGGTATGAAAGTGTGATTAGACTGCAGATAAACACGAACAGAAGATGGCTAGATTATTCTAGCAGTGTACAACATCTGGTTATGCCTTCCAGGTCAAAGGAAGTGTGTAAGTATGTTCAAGTTCTACTGATTAGAGGAGTTGGGATAGCTGTGAATGTTAGGTTAACGATCTACTGTGAAAATCACGTTTATTCCTTAACCTAAAAAAATTTTAATTTTATCTAACCTCAAATTCAACATGCCCCTTCGTAATGTACGGTGAAAAGAATTTTATTACAATCACACGTGCATATTGTATGAATTACACACGAGTTGAGTGAAAGTGAGGTTATCTTCAGGAAAAGTCTATTAATCACGGTGAAAATGGTCATCGAAAGGGTGTTCGATAAAAACTGAGACATTAATCAAATTTAGTTGGTTCTTTTCGAAAATTTCAAGCGGAGAATCACGCTATCATGTGGCTCATACTTTTCCCTTTTCTTTCTTTTTGGTTAGTTATGTGATATCGATCGAACGTAATTAATCACCCGGACGAAAAGCGAATCGTTATTCTATAAATTCTGACACGTGAATCGTGTCGCCGAACTGAAATAACTGCCGCCTGGTCTAATGTTGATTTATGGCGTTTTATATTGGCATACCTCCTGTCGATCTGTTATTTGGTTAAATACGACCAGTGATGAAAATATTCGACCATCATGGCGTTCTTGAATTTTCGCATCTCAATTATTCATAGAAAAGGACATGTTCGATTATTTTTAGATTATTAAAAGTCACTTAATGTAACGCTTAAAAATATTATCATAATCACGATCAATTTTTTTTTCTAATATTGAATTTAATTGCGTCCGAATATATAATTATTTGAATATTTTTATAATGTATTATTT